TAGCTCTGTGCACACACCTTCACACGCCTTGCCCGTACTACTCCTATCCCCCGTTGCTTTTCTCCAGCATTCCCTAGTTTAAGTTGGTGCAGTGCATCGGTAATTATTGTGCCCACTTTGCACCCGGCCGCCCCGACCGACTCTGCACCTTTCATTTTATAAAAATATATTCCGAAACGTAAAGTAGCGGTAATCAAGTACATGTACATGTACACAGACTTGAGGAATCAAAAACGAAAGGAATCAAATCAAAATCCGAGTGTGCATGTATTCTGAAGGTAGGGTCGTGAGAGGTTTCACAAAATCATGGTCAAGTCACTTCACTTGAGTGGAGTAGTATTTTTGTTTTAGTAGAAGTGTCCATGGCATAATATACGGACAGCGGCATGGCACCAACATGGCCATGATGTCATGTGACTCAGCGGTGTAGGAACCCGTGCTCGACTCACTGGCCGGCTGTGCATGTGTGGAACCGATATGGCTGCTTCGAATTGTCACGTGATCGGTGTGAATACTCGCTCCTTGATTACCGATGGGAGATCATGTGATTCAGGTACATGTACTCTTCTACGTGAACTTTGTCTCATGATGATCCTACAATGACCATGTACATAATTGTAGATCCGAAGATGAAACTCCACACACACACACACACACACACACACACACACACACACACACACACACACACACACACACACACACACACACACACACACACACACATACACACACACACACACATACACACACACACACACACACACACACCATGTACCATGTATACGCCCGTCGCAAGAGAAGCACGCAAATCTGCAAATGCACCGGATGTGCATCCACAGATTTTCTCTTATAGCAACGATAGCGGACACGATCTGAATGAGTCAGACCAAGACTAGCGCCAGATAACTATCCAATCCACACAACCTGCGAAGCCATGTGAATCGACCACCAATGCACACCTGGTCTACACCATGCTGAGTACATCTGCATAAAACGGCCGAGACAGTTACCTATGCACACCCTACACTTGCTGAGGTAACCAGTATAGACAGCACGCTACTTTGGTAGAAGTAGACACTAGATGCACTGGTACCTTGAAGTGAAATTGTAGTTACTTTACCAACCAGTCTGGGCAACTGAGTACTGGGAACCCAGATCCAACAGACGTACCAACAACCTCAGCCGTGAAAGCTTTTACAGTAGCGACACACTGGCTTGTGGAGCCGAAACTAGTCCAACTTCCAAATGCTTGAAAGTAGCCTTCCGACACACACACCATGTACACACACCCCATGTACACACACCCCATGTACACACACACACACACACACACACACACACACACACACACGCACCGCGGACCATCATTACTGTGATTATTATCATTATTATTATTATTTAAAGAGTCGGCGTGGAGAAAGCAATTTTATTAGTGCAATTAGGAGTATAATAGATGCAGACATGGCCAGACAACAACGAGTTCATGGAATTTTTAAGGATTTTTATGTTATTCAAAATCGATTTTCGTGTTCCGCTCATCAGTGAATAGTATCGGAACTGAGGGTACTGTGTACACAAATTGAACATTTTATAACAGCATAATTAAAAGTGTGAACAAAAAAGGAAGTGCTACAGCATTACATAATAGGTGTCAAACATAGTGCTAACATACATGTAGCAGACTCAGCGGAGGACGTTCAGGTTGGTTGTAACTCTGAGTTTCATGCCGCTAGGCAATCATCAGACAGTTATGTACTAAGCTCTGTCTCTGACATTGAGCACTCTCTGCAGCTCGGGGATCAACGGATTAGGACACAACATTTACATCTGATAACCAACTACGAGAACAACTTTAGCGCGACTACATGCTTCTTTTGTTTACAAAGAACAGGATTATGCACACGAATACATACAGCTTCCAGAACCTTCAACTGCTTAACATAACTTGCACGGCACAAAACAGAAAAGTGAGAATCATCGTACACACTTAGACAATCTGGACGTGATAACAAGTGACAAAATACAGCTGACTTTTTGCTCACGTCGCTCTCTTCCGTCTCATCCCGCTCCTTTCCTTCAACCTCCTCCGCCTGAGCCTGAGTTTTGTTCGTAGCTTGTTCTTGTACGCACTGCCGTGGCTCGTTTGTAGACCCATAAATCGTGCCAATATTGGGCCAATATTTAGGGATATGCCAATTTCATGGTTCCCTTCGAAGGATTTTGCGCGGGCTTTGGAATGTCGATCTACACCCCAAAGTAAACCTACCTGCAAAATTTGAGCGAAATCTGAGAGATCGACTTGCACATATGTTCTGGTTTTCTCAGACATGCTCTCTTAAGTCGCCCTTACAAAAGAACAGAATGATGCCAATGCCCAATGTTTGTGTTTGGCATTCGGTGCAAAACAAAAATAGCCTTTACCACCCTCTGTCTCCTGCGCCGTTGAATGATGAATTTGCTTGGAGATGTCTTCTCTATTTTCCTTTCCAAACAATGGCATGCACTGGAACTGCCCCTAGCGGTCTGAACCAGTGTTCTATGCATGTAGACTGTACTCGGTTTGCGCCAGAGCAACTAGTTACTTGCCACTTGAAAGATCCTATACAATGACTACGTACATGTACATGTACATGTAACTGTGGCACTGAACTCACCTAATACGTGTATACAGTCATGTACATGTACATGTATGTATTCGGATACAACGTACATCTACTCTTGCCGGACATTTTTTATGCAGGCACGTGGCTCTAATGTACTTGATTCCAGTACAATCAGTTGTCTGTGGATTGCTTTGGCCTTGCTTTGTACACGAAACGCAGCGTTACAGCAATGGTCTAGCCGATTGTATCTGTTCTCTTCTGCCTTGGTGGACTGACGTTACGTGACGTACATGTACATTTACATGTATGTTCGGATAAGAAGATGTTCGAATACTAAGTACGTTTTATTCATTTTTCAGTTCCCCGCATTGTGCGTGTGATCCGAGTTCCACTGCACATGCTCGTGTACACGAAATTGTATTGTATTTAGGCATTGGCGGATAATGCTCGAAAAGCAGTGAAATTGGCAGAACCATACAAACATTATGGCGGGCAATTCCTCGAATTCTGCTCCATTTCTTTATCCACATACATGTATATGTACCAAACATGCATGAAACTTACCAGAAAAAGTACCGAATTCTGCCAATTTTTCTGCCGGCATTATCCGCAAAGGCCTAATGGTATTGCATTTTTGGATTTCCCACAGGCTCTGGGCCTGTGGACGGGATCTCCTACTCCCAGAGTTACTTGAACTGAGAGCGGGG